ATAAATAAGTGGGACAGATGAAATTCAATAATAATAGCGGAGCCTCAACATTGGATTTGCAGCGTTACGCATTCTAGCCATTCGCTCTGCAGCTGAAGTGAATGACAGCTTGGGAGCTCTCGTTGCTCGCTTTCTGTAGCCTATATCATTTTATTTTTAAGATTTATTTTTAATGCTTCTGTAAAGGACTAACGGCCGCATAGCCTACTGCAGAGTTTAAGGGAGACAATGGCACTTAACAGTAAAGTCATATCTAAATATGTTCTTTTCATTTATGAAGATTTAAGTATGTAGTTTATGCACATTTGTTCAAAACAGCCTGGCAGATTGTTCACAAGATGTAGGCAAAAGTTTGTATTGTATACAGGAAGGATGCGCGTTCTTATCATTCTTCTGTTGCGCTGCTTGTCTATTTCTCTTCAAAGCACCAACTTAAAATGTCTATTTTGGTGTGATTGCTTGTGTTACATGAGAAAATGTATAATTTTGCCTTACTGATGCAGTAGCCTATTTAACGCGGGTGCGGTTCAGGTTGCGGGTCGGGTACAGAATTAAATGGGTGCTGGCTGCTGTCGGATAACGGGTCGGGTGTTCTGTTGTGTAGCTACTGGATGCAGGTTTACCTAACAGCACCCGTGCAGGACTCTGCTTTAAACTGCTTTGCGTCTCTCCGTCAGATAACCTCACGTGCATGATGCGCCATTTACGGGGGCTTATTTAAAATGAAAACTCATTCTCTGCCAGCAGGAGGCGCTTTTAGAGTGATAAAACTGGTAATGTATATCGAAATATCGGAAATGTGTTTAAAAATCATATCACCGTTATTGAAAAAAATTATATCGCGATACATATTGATATCGAATTATTGTCCAGCCCTAACCATAGGTGAGACTTACTCTTGGGTGGCCATGGTTTGGGTTTCCAGTCAGACTTGGGACGAGCATCAATTTCAGAAACACGATCAACAAAACGTGCGTGGTCTGTTGCAACTGTTCTGTAAGCCTATCAGACAATTCAATAAAGACATTAATTCATTCAACAAGTGATCTGACATCAAACTATATCATCAATGGTTTGAGTTTTTAAGGGGCCATATGATGCTTTTTTAAAGATCATTATTTTGTGTATTTGGTGTAACAGAATATGTTGACATGCTTTAATGTTCAAAAAACACATTATTTTTCAAATACTGTACATTATTGTAGGTCCTCTATGCCCCGCCTCTCTCAAACACGTCGTTTTCAACAAAGCCCCCTCCTTTGACAAGCGCAGTCTGCTCTGATTGGCCAGCTGACCTAGTGCATTGTGATTGGCCGAACACCACAAGCACACGTCGGAAATGTAACGCCCCTGACCATAATTGCGAGCTTCAGCTTTCAAAGTACATATCAAGACAGTTAATAATGTTGTTAGTTTTACCATCAGTTCAAGCCCGAAAGGGCAACAGACAGTGATGATGCAGTACACAAGCCACGGTTAAGACAGCTGACGTGCTATGATTTCTGACAGGCAGTTCACTCTCCTGTGATGTGACCCTGTTCCCCTCACACACACACAGCACAGTTACTCAGCGCTGCGCAAAACTCTGCATTTGAACAGTCAATAGCAAATACTTAAAGTAATAATAAAACATACTTACAGTCGCTGATTCAGAAGCGCCAGATTGTCATAGCAAAGCCGGAATTTACCCTTTTTTTTTAAAGAAATAGCCTTTGTGCACAGCCAGCCTTGTACTCTTCTAGGTTAAAAAAAACTGTCGTCCATAAAATGCGTTGC